CCTGGACGTGGTGCTGTGCAGCCTGCTCTGGGTGACCCTGCTTGGGCAGGGGGTTGGGCTGGGTGACCCACAGAGGACCCTGCCAACCCCGGCCATGCTGGGATTCTGGGATTCGGTGACTCTGTGTGTGTGGCTGCTGGCTGAGATCAGCCCACCAGGTAGGTATGTATCGCAGTTTGTTTACATTTAGGAAGCTTTAGTTTCTGTTACTTCTTTCTAGGTGCTTGCATGTTTGAGAGAGCTGTGTAATGGCTTCTCTCGGTGTCTTGCTGAAGCTTGACAGCATTAATTTAGCATTTAGCTCACAGACTTGCTAATTTTGCACATTAAGCAGTTCATGTGCTCGCACACTGGAGCTCCGTGTGGGTTTTCCCTGGAGTTAGCAGCCAGACAGAGCTCGGGGGCGGTTGCTTCCAGTCGCCTGCCCTGTGGTGTCTGTAGCTCTGGAGGTGGGAAACGGTGCCCTTGTTCTCTGGCACCGAATTCAGGCTGGGCAGCCGGAGCGGGTGTTGCTGGCTGCAAGGAGGCTGAGCGTTCGACGGCCTGGAGGCAGGCAGCTTGGCTCACTGTCTCTGAGCAGTGCTCTGCTCCGGCTGCAGGACTTTTTTTTTTCCCCAATATTGTCAAAGAGGAAAGTACAGGGGCAGGAGAGAATTACAAGTTAGCACTTCAGTTTCCTGCAGTCCTGCTCTTGAATTTGTGCTGTTACTGGATGGTGCTTTTTGGGAGGTGCTTGTTGGGTGTTGATAGGGTGTGTGGTAGGATGCACGTAATAAAATTGTATTTGTTTCAGATGGAAGTAGCCTGTTTAATAAGTAGTTTTTGTCATTTTGTAGGTTTGAAGGAAAGCAAGGAACAAATGGTTTGGTTTGTTTTTCAAGCTGTCATAATGTGTGCAGTTGATTTGATATTTCTAGGGAAAAAGTCTGACATATCAAACTTGAATTCCTCATATGTGGGGTCTGGAATTCACGTTGCTTCTTTCAATGTAGTTGGACAGCAGGGATGGGAGAGTCTGGTTTCACAGAATCCCAGCATGGCAGGGGTCGGCAGGGCCCTCTGTGGGTCCCCCAGCCCAGCCCCCTGCCCAAGCAGGGTCACC